ATGTGCTTCTGCTGTGCCAGTTAAATATACTTCAAACTGTCAAATGATCAAAAACTTGTATTGACAGCTGGGTGAGATGTGTCACCTGTCCTAAGTTATTTCTTCACCTTGTGCCAGCATGGACAAAAAGCTTTCAAATGCTCCATGACAAATGATGGACATTATGTTCATGCTGCTGTCTGTGACTCTGCAATAGACATGGTCTTTAACACAGTAAGTCTAGAACAAGAAAGAACGCTAGAAAAAAACTACACATTAACTTAACACATTCAAATAATTACCAAATAGATACATTATGAAAAAAGTATATGTTGGTAGGAAAATAATACAAATAGAATGCAGCAAATTGCAGTAGAACTCACGTTACCATAGGAATTCTGACCAATGACATTTCCACCGATCAGGTAAAACATTACAGCCACTGACAGGTGAAGTGAATAACAGTGATGAGCTCGTTACAGCCACCTGTCAGTGGGTGGAGTTTATAAAGCAGCAAGACAACAGCGTCCAAAGGACAGATGGTGAAGTGGGGACAGGGTCACGGACGGTCACTGGTGATGAGGTTGACTTTCTGTAGATATTTTGCAAGTAACTTTTAGTGTATCGCGTTTTTCGTGTATGTAGATGCTTAGCTGTTATTCTGAGGTAAAATAGTTGAATAAATGTGTAATTTCAAGTTCATGTAGGATACTTTATCTAGTGTTTGCGAGGATTTAATGTTGGCGTGTAATGTTAGTAAAACTCTGCTTAGCAAGAAGCCTTTTGGGCTGAAAGCAAACCAGGCGTGTGTCCGCTAATTAGCTCTGTGTGGTTAGCCTTCCGGTACGCTAGTTTGCTTTAGCATGTTTTTAATGAGGTTAATTGTTAAAACTTGCTTCTAGGACGTTTTGCAATGACTTAGCGGTAACTAGTCACCTATCCCTTGTTGGCTCTGTAGTTTGACTGCCAGCGTTTCGCGAACGGTGTTACATATTGAATATATCTGGACTAGATAAACATTAGCACCCTCTCGTTTTTAACACCCAACAAGCTCACTAATGTTACAAAGACACTGGTCTTTGACACAGATGTCTGTCTTCTAGTGGAGAAACCAGTTTTTCCTGCCACGTCTAAGATGGAGCCTCATTTAGATTGAAGTCCAGACAAACCATCAGCTGCCAGTCATTAATGAACGGCCGAAAAGCCTCTAAGATCATATTCAAATAGCAGGGTTTGACAGTGGAAGCAATGCCAGGATTTAATTTTTTTAGGGTGCGGTTTATGGGGTGGTGGTTTGTATGAATATCGTCATCAAATTTGCATGGCCTGTTTCATAAATTGAGGGTAAACAAAATGGGAATTGTTAAAGTAATGTTCCTTATAGGCTTGATGGCAACGAACCCAGCAGAGGGACGACATCAGCAGTCTGGCCTTTTCTTGGGACTTGCCACCACTAATTCAGAGATGGCTATTTCAATGTGTGGTGAGATGACGTTTCAATTTTTTTTTCCCATTTTGTCTAAATGTTGACTTGTATAAATGCAGAATGGACACCGCAAAGTTCATGTACTGTATATGAATGAAATGATGTTCACTGCTAAGGTACAAATGTGACCACAATGTTTCTTGCTTCAAAATGAAGCAAACCTATCAAAGAAAAACATGGTGGGTTGAATTTGGAGGGTATGTTTTAAACTCAAGCTTTTTCCATTTCCCCCTTAGGCAATCCTTAACCAGATGTCATTCTATGGCCAGATCACCAGCAGTATTCTTGATGACATGCATAAAGACGGGCAAGTTTGTTTATAAATGTACCATTTTATTATTGAAATCAAATGTTTACTTTTTTCTGTTTTTGCAGACTCATCCCAGCTGCGAGGTTTTGGCCTAGATGAGAATCACCATGCTGTTGGCACTTTGCTTCTAGTTACATGACTAGAGTCTTCATAACTGTGATTAAGGCACATGCAGTGTAATAGCATGGAGATAGTGAGACTGTGCTTTGACCCCACCAGTAGGGTTTCCCATCTTATGCCAAGACTTCAGAGCATTTAAGAGGTGGTGCAGTTTTCAATAAAGCATTACAACTTAAGCTTTCTGGTTCTCCTTTTAATATCTGATAAGGGGTCTCAATGTGGGTTTTGTAATAAAAGCTGTGACACCTTGTACTTTCTGGTTCTTCTAATATATAAAGTGAGGCACTAGTTCCTTACTAGAGGTAGTGAAGTACCAAAGATGTGAAGTGACTTTTGAGGACATAGTTGAAACAGCATGATTTTTTTTTCAGGACTATTTTTGACTTTTCAGCCTTGTTCTGGGCTCTTTGTTTTCAGTGAAGCATTACAGCTCAATCTTTTTTGTAATGTTTTAATATGAAAGACGTAAGGCACTGTACGCCAGCATGATCCACATCTGGAAAAATGAAAAACATGGTCAAGTTAACAAAAATGGTCAAATAATTGCTCTTATCTCATGAAGGGATGACAGGAATGGGTAGGCAATCATACAGTGAAGGCTTGTTCCATCTAACTGTCAAGATCTTGGATTGGAGACTGTGGGAGAACAGACAATACAATTGTTTCAACTGTGGAGGACTGAAGCATGCAAGCATTTAAATATACAGCTATTAATTTTACAGGTTGACTGTAGCAAAGTTGTTGGCTTTAAATGACTGAAAAGCAGAGTTACTACTATAAATCCTAAATTACAGAATAGTTTAACCTACTGCTATAGCTAAGTGCACAGAAGTTAAAAACAAGGAGTACCTGGATGCAAAGTCAGGTTTCTTTGCAGCATCAAGGAAGAACTTTGAGCCATGGATGTCTGGTTCCTGGCCATTTGGAGGATCAGGGCCTGTGACAGAGTTACCATCAGCTTACTCAAAGTTGCTTACAAGTTTATCCACAGTGAATTTAAGAGATAATTCTATTTGCCAGCTGTGCTGTCAATTTGCTGCATTTCACTTGAAAGCAATTGTCAGTTACAACGTTTGCCAGAAACATTAGATAAAAGTTTAAAGCAATACACAACTACATTGTCCTAAATGTTATAAAAACTTGAGAATTTTCATTACAATGTATATCAAAGCTGTTCAAACGCTTTTGAAATGAGTTTGTCAGGAAAATCCCAGAAACCTGTACAAACCAACAGTGACTACTTTTACTTTTGGTAATTTATGTATATTTACCTGCTAATGCCTTTGCACTATTATTTAAGCAAAATTTTGGATTTAGCACACTTACCTGTAACAAGACATCTCAGTAAAAAGACGCCAACCAGTTTGGACCTCACCTGCTCTTCATCAGGGCGGAAACATACAGGTGCAAATGATTTGTTAATTTTCCGTGCTGATGAGGTCCAAACCAACCGGCATATTTTTGAGCTGCACCATTATTATAAAGTATAAGTGACATTTACATTAACGGGGCATGTAAAACCAAAGCAAAAGAGTACTGGACGGCTAACGTTACCCTTGAAGGATTTCTTGCTAGCAGAAGTTTGCTAACGTCCTACATTAGCATTCAGCTAACACTGGATAAAGTATCCCACCTGGAATACAAAACATACATTTGGAGAACTGTGCGATCAGCCGATCACCTGCGCGCTGCCTACATACAGAACGCAACACATGAAATGTTAACTGTGATTTTCTACAATTTCCTAATACAACCCACCTGAATAGTAGAACAGCTCCCGCGCCACCGGCGACTACCTTATAAAACCCAGCTACCACACTGATTGGACAATTTCTCTCTGCTCTGTGATTGGACTTCCACTGTCCAATCAGATTCCTTCTTCTTCTTTTTCCTCTTCCTCCTCCTCTTCTTCTTCTTCTTTTTCCTCTGTTGCTTAATGGCGATTGGCAACCAGCTTTAGGTACATTACCGCCACCTTCTAGTCTGGAGTGTGAAGGAGAACGAACAGGAAAAAGAAAAGTTACAAGACATGTTTTAGGCTTTTAGGCAAAACTGTCTTATTCCTACCATTTATTTTTTTTAAATAAAATCTAAAACCACTCATATTTATTATGAATAAAGAGGGGTTCCAAATATGGCTGGTCAAGGCTTTGTTGAAACTTCGACACAGTATTCAAAAACTGGTTAATTACTTGGGGCTTCAATGACACAGTGCTCCACACCTTGTGGTCAATAAAATGAAGTGCAATTGAGACGTGACATTTATTGGTTCACGGATTGTTTGGGATTTGATTCACCATACACATTCCTGTTCGACTACACTACATGGTTATATGGTTTCAAGCTGACACAATAAAATATAAAATAAACATGTTAAAGACCATGTTTCTTATTTGCATGTCTGATTGAAGTTTGTATATACCTGATGAAGGCCAGGTAGACAAAACATTGCGGATGTAGTAAATTATCTACCCTAACCAAGACAGAGTGTGTCAGTTTTTTTCTTCTTTTAACACTTTTGCTATTTGCTGTCCTCCAACACACCTGTCACACATTCAGGTGTGCAGAGGCTTGTCAGTTTAAAAAAAATGTAGCTACCAGAACACTTTTGTCTCAATGCTGTTCCCTGCATTTAAAAAACATAGCATTTATATTCTGTCCAATGAAAGCTCATCTAACAAACTTTGCAGTACAGATGGTAAACTGAGCAGCCTCACTGATTAGATACTGGAGTTTATGATAGTGTGACCAGTCGCTGTACACTGAAATCAAAAAGCCATCCAAACTGTTGTACTATATGTGTTATGTTGGGAGAAGGTTAAAAAGGCAAGAGGTTGGTTTTCAGATGGGGCTGATGCAGAACAAGTGAAAACACTGGCATCACAGTGTCACAGTTAACCACCAGTCATCTGCCTCGATAAACCACATAGTGGGAACATATCACACTTGCCCCCGATGGTTAGAGCCATCGGTTGAGTTGGTGCCACAGATGGCTGCCATCAGTTCTGTACCGGAAACAAATTCCTTGTGTGTAACATACTTGGCCAATAAAAGTGATTATCCTTATCCTTGAAATTTCTTAAAGTGGATGGCTGATTACATACATTATGTATAATCTAAATGCTTTAACTCATCTGAATTGTCACACTTTTAGTTTGAAAGCTACAGGCAGACACTTCCTGGTTACCCTGACCAGTGTAAACACTGTAAAGTCAGTGGCTCACCAGCAAAGTCTCACACAGGAGTTTGCTGCCTCGGACCAGGTTTCCAATGGTGATGTGGAAGTATGTGTTTCCGCTGCTCCAGTTGGAGATTTTAGTGAAGGGGTGAGTGGTGAGGATGTCCTACAGGAAATACAGGTTAGATGAACACAGAGTCACTGTCAGTAGCAGATACAGAACACACACGTGTACGTACAAGGAGACCCATGTCTGGGGTGCCAGTTAGCAAAGTTTCCTGTTGCAGCTCTAAAGCATTTGGATCATAGGATTTTTAAAAAATGTATTTCAGGAAACACCTTTTTCCCCCAAATGATAATTCTTAGGAACAACCTAATGGACCCACCTTGGACTTGGGATCAATCAAGCTGACTCCATGTTTGTTGACTGCAATCAGGAGGGTTTCTGGAAAGTTTGGATCAGTTGTTTGCTGCAGAAAGAACAAAACAAAACAAATTAAACTTTACACAGTGTAACAGCACTTACATGTTCTTGTTTTAAGTGAGATTAGACAATACAAGTAATTACTGCAGGTGACAAAGAAGAAAGTGGTTGTCTGAAAAAAATGTCAGTTATATTTATTACCAGCTTTTAAATCAAAGATTCTTTACCTTTACTTCAAAGAAGGCAGAACCGAATGTGGCCCACTTGTAAATGATTTTGAGAAAGGAGAGTTTAGCTTCTTCCTGAGTTTTCCCTGAGTGCTTGTCGAATGATGACATGATGCACTGATAGGAAACACACAAAAAAGGGAAGTTGTAAAACACCTCTGAACATTTACTTTGTTTACACACTTCTCCCTGGCATTTAGAAATAATGATTTTACTGAGAATGTTTTGGCTCTACAAGTTAAATCTGTTTTAATGTGTTTTTATAATTACTGCAAGTGAACATCAGAAGTCAAAATGCTGGTGAGCATGTGTAGGCAACACATGCTCACAAAAAATGTAACCATGTACATACATTGCTATTTGTACCATTATGGTAAACAATAACGTTTAAGATGCGTTAATTAAATATTAATTCAGATTATATTCAGAGATGTCTCTTAATTGTTGTGCTCCCCGAAGAAACATACATGAGTGGGTCAGAATATTAGGAACACCTCTGAATATAATGTAGTTCAGTACAACACCACCTTTGATTTTGACCTCAATAATAAACATATAATTGAAGTTGTACATTTATTTCACCAAAAACTGAAACATTTGAGCCTCTTAAACACAGATGTTAAGGCAGAAGTGCTGCACTGAATTGCATGCAGTTGTACAGTGGCCAGGGAGTGTATAGCCTACGTTTTGCTGTGAAAACAAATCACCCCCTGGGGACAAAAAGGACTTACAGTATCTATGATGGTTCGCAAACTGTATTTGATGTGGATTTCTGCATTTTGTCTGTGGTCATACAATACGTCTTCTGTAATCTTAATGAGAAGACCGGTTAAATAAAGGATAAATTATTACTTCCAGTCACCATAGTGCCACTGTTAAGGTTGTAACCAGTCTCCACCTACCTATAGAAAAATGTTTGATTATTAAATGAGCATCGATGGAGGCTGCAATCGCTGAGGAAGCCCATAGTTCCATATGTTATATAAACAAATGGTCACAAATTAGTATAAAATAAAGATCACTCAAAGTTCCAGTCAAATAATATTTAATGTCTACACAATCTTGAAGACAGAAAATATCAAGAGAAACTAACTTCAATCTATGAGAAAAAAACGGTCCATGGCAGCGCTTTTTGTCAGTGACACGACTCCAATATTTGGCATTGTCCTAGAGATCATCTTGATCTAATTTGATTTGCTAAAATAACAAACTCAGAAATGTGGAAAATAGAAATAATCTCTTATGAAGACCTTTTCCCCTTCAAAAACTAAAATTATATTCTTACAGTCTGCCTGCAATTTTCTTTTTAGGCCAGCACTCATGTCATGCTTCATAAAAACCATAGCCTAGCTGCCAAAGCCAACATAGCAATAATGTGGAATAGAAGAAAATCTCTGAATGATGCTGGTCACCTGCTTATGTGCCAACTTCTGGCAGCTACGTGTTGTTAACCCCTCCCCCAAATATTTACATCATCTTCAAGACCTTTAAAACCATAATAAAACAATTCATAAACACCACCTCTGCAAGAATACAAGTACAAATGCTGTGATTCTGGAAGTGTAAATCATACAGGGTTACGTTTGTTTTATAAAATGTCAAAATAAACATGAGCCTCTCTGAAATGAAATCAAAAAAACAGTTTGACATCTTACAACTAAAATAAATGGTTCACATTTTCACCAAGTCTCATCAGTTAAAATCTCTTTTTAACTCACGTTAGTTTTGTCATGGAGTCACCAAACCATAAATGGTGTGCAAAGGCAAGTGAACTTGGTACTTAATTTGTAAGATACAAAACATTTCAGAATCTTATATTAATATATTAATCATAGTTTTTCTTTAAAAAAAAAGTTCCATCATGTGACTTGTAAGCTTTTAAGGTGCAGTTTTAGAATACAACACAATGCAAGGCCACTGATATACCCAGTAAATAACAGGCTGAGTCTTTGAGCCAAAATCCCTTTTTTAACACTAGCTTCTGATGGTTTAAAGCATTCACACACTTCCTATCTTGCTTAAATGTCCTAATGCCCTTCAATTTAAAAAGATAACAGTAAGATAACAAATGCTCCCAAAGGACATAACATATAAATGTACTGTAGCATTCAGGTTTATTTGGAGCTCAAAAACTGGTGCTTGCTGGGGAATGTTCAGCTAAATGTGAGGAGTGCTTGAGGTGACTGTCTATAATATAAAGGGTACATTTCTAAACTTCTAGACTTGCCTTCAGTTCTTAGATTTTTTTTCCTGCTAAGTATTATTTGATTCATATAAGTGGAACTCAGACTGGCCACGGTTGCTAATAATTTTTAGTATGCTATTTTGAAACTTGATTATATTGGTTGTTGTTTTATCTGATAGAAACTATGTTTTTGTGGTACTCAGATGTTTGTCTTCAGGTCAAGGAATGGCTTTATAAAACTGACTTGATCGATCCTGATTAACCGAAGCACGCTATCCTGAGATAATGACACATGACAAAGACAAAATGGTTAAGTTTGCCCTAGACCCACTTGGTTGTGCATTTCATGAACCACATGTTTTGTAACCTTATAAAAGATGCTCGCTCACTTTACCCAGACTTCAGCCAAATTTGAAGGTGTAAGAGCAAGTAGGGTTGAAATGTTCCTCTTGAGAGCTTTTCAGTTTTTATTCTTTACAAAACTACTTCTGTAAATTTTCATATAGGCAACCAAGTGCAACACCATGAATGAGGAGAGACTGTCCTAAAGTGTGACACATTATCCTCATTCGTATAATGAATAGCACTGATACGACAAAGACGCCAAGACAGAGCGAGCGACAGCCAGAGGGAGGCTATGAAGGCAGGCTTTTGCCCTCTATCTTCACCTATGGCCATTTGAAATGTATAAGACATTTGCCTTCGAATGTTGTACAACATTTGAAGCACAGTGAGTGTAGCAAATTGTTAGGGAACTTAACATTTCTAAATTGTAAGAAAAGAGGGACAACCAATCACACAATGGAATATAAAAAACACTACATGTGGTAATGGCACAGTTCAGTTGTAATCTGGAGCAAAAACCTAAACAATTATTAGCAACCTTAGCCGATGAGTTCCCATAGTTAGCAGTGCAGGATGCTGACCTATTCTGACATTTAATCTTTTACAAAACTTATTCAAAACACAAAGACAGCTTGAAATACAACTGGAGCACTTTCTGGGAAAAACAAAAACAAAAACAAAAAATTTAAGTCAAATAAGACCAGAAAAAAAAGACAATACTTCTCTGGTAAATTGTTACTCTGCTACAATAAAGCCAAAATCTATGATTAGTGTAAGTGGTAAGCGTTACAAGAGGAAATCTATCTATATGTGCAAAAGCCTCTGAACTAATGAAACCAACCAACAGGTGTGCACCTGTGTGAACCAATAAAGGCAACAAAGAGAAAACAAAGTTAAAGTCAGCATGCAGGTGAAGGATGAGCATCACACAGTAAAGCAAGCAACCATCCCGGCTAGCTTCCTTCCACAGAAATGCTGCCAATTCATCTCATCGTGTGTTCTCGTAACAGACATCTGTAAAAGAGCTTCGGGTGTTTTGGCAGTTTCTTCTAAGGGTTGCCAAAGGTTAAGGTTTACAGCGCATGCTACCAAGCTTTAATATGAGCCCACTAAAGTTAAACCTCTGCATTGCTGCCCCCAGCATAAGCCATTTTCCCTTGTAGACCTTGGACTGTGATACAACAGCTGATAACATGCTGGAAGCATCTGGCTGTTCAAACTGTGGTTGCACCGATCATCATGGAACCTGCAAGTCACTCATTGCACATTTTGAGGAGATGTTGACAGGGTTGCTGGAGTGTCTCAAACATTTCATTTCAAATGTAAATCCATCAAAACATCTGTTCCTGTTTTGAGGTGATGTGACAGTTAACTTCTTTTCCTTCCTTCCACATTAACATCAATGTTCACAATCATGCAGTTTGTCCCAATAACCTAAACATTCAAAGAGCTCGTACGATCCCTCACAACTTCAAGACAACAAGCCACAGGGTACAAAACACAAAGGAAAACAACTGAAATCATCAGCTAACATAGCTTATAATTAGTCTGGGGTGAAACAGAAACAACGAACAAGTTGTTAGTGGGTGAAATTAGGAGCATTATCACAACATAATGCACAGGTCATCACTTTGTGGACCAAAGTCCATTAGTCCATGACAGAAACTCTCCGCACTCCTGCATGGCCCAATTCCTAGGATGACTTATTGGGAGCTTTACACTCTGAAGCTCTCTCCTTTGCCGTCAATGTGGCGCAGGCGCAGGTAGATGTCGGTGCCAATGCCCTGCATAGACTGTATGGACAGAGAGCCACCCAGGTACTCAGCGTAGGCCCTAGATGTGGGCAAGCCGAAGCCAAACCTAAAGGACATAAAGACACAGACTGCAGCTTTAACATAACAGTGAAGCAGTCAAGTTATCTGTGCTGCAAAGTTAGCACAAACATAAGTGTAGCTGAAGTGGAAAACAGGTCCTCTGCAAAACAGAGAAAGGCCACCTACGGTACAGGTAGATATCACAAAGCTCCTGTCAGGCCTCCTGTTGGCAAGGACTCATGCATATCATGATTTGACAAACCCAGTACTGCACTCCACCCACCCTTCTTTGACTGTGCCAACACACAGTTTTGACAACAGGACTCATTGTGTCAAAACACTTAACATGGTTCACAGAAATACACACCCAAAGAGCAAAACACCACACACATCCTGGAAGTGAAGCACTACACACAAAACTACTAAACACTTATCAAAATCTAACTTTTGCACCAAATGCTATGCAATTCATTCACATTAACTAATTTTCAGAACAAACACTGCTGTGCTAAACACATTTATCTTTGGTGGCCTTTTACTATAAGAGGATTCTGCAGGGAAAGACTATTTAAGTGCACAGAATTCTGCACAAAATACCAATTTCACAAAAAAGATTTTGTTCCTTCCTTCACAGCTAATTAGTGCTACACTTAGCACAGTGAATATTACAGTTGTGCAAACACAAAATATCAATAGAGTAATGTGGGCAGCTCCCACATCAATAGTATCGTGTCTCTTCCATTCCCAGCCTTCCCAGCACTTCCTCCTCTAAATCTGCTCCCTCTATATTGACCTCTACCTGTAAATTGGTATCTACCATCTATGTGATAAGATAAAAGCCTAATGTAAATCTAACCAAGAAGCACTGGAAACATAAGGGAACAACGACTCATGTGGGCAGCAGCTGAAGTGGCACTGAAATGAGCTGTCGTACGCCTTGTCTCATTAAATCAACTTATCTGATGCCTTATCACTGTAGCCACTGATAATCTGTACAGAAGAGTGAGAGGAGCATTCTGCAGACTGGCAAGTTATCTGTGTGTTTTCATTAGCACAGTTGTTGACCAGAGAGCTAAACCTCAGGTGTTTTTGTCATTTACTAAACAGTTTAGTTGCATTACCACCAGCTTTAGCTGAAGCAGGTCTGACCCTGACTTGTGTGTAGCCCAGCAAAACCAAGATAGATGCAAGAAATGAATGAGCTTCCAAAGAGATATCCATGAATGTGGCCAAATCTAGATTTAGATGTAGTAAGTCACACCTGGATTTTATCCAGACCCTTGAAATGACAAGTATAAAGGTGTGAGGCATGACTGCAAGACATCTCAAAGACGTGCATAATACACACTCGCTAGGCAACAATGTTTACAAGATAACACTGTGTGTGCATAGCTGAAAATTTATTGCCAACTGACAAACCATTTAATTTCAGTGACTACACATCACACAGTACAGGTTTCCTCTGCTTAATACTGCACAAAGCACATTCTGTACTTTCACATTCTTACCCATGCATAGGGCTGGACTGGTTTCCACTGTTGGTAATGGTGTTGAAGAGGTTACTCATGCGGGGGTCCTGTGCGCTCTCCTCAGCTGTGCTGAAGTGGTAGTCCATCACCTTGTTTATGATGTTGTGAGGGATGCCGCCACCACGGTCTGAAATCCTAAAAAGAAAAGGAAGCTCTGAGTGTCACAATGCCCACCACCACAGTGGACTTAAAGCGTGTCCTCCTGAATCCAGTCCAACAACAAACTTATTATCATGATGCTTGTCACAATTTTGCCTTGATTAAGAAATCTTGCAGCTGTTGTTTATAAAACCAGCAGCAGCAGCAGCAGAACAGAAATTTAGCTACTCACCTGATGACAAAATCAATGTCGTTATTGGCAATGGTGACAATCACATCAGGCACATTGTATGGAGTGTCCAGATGGCTTTCCATAGTGGCCCTGAATTGGACAGATGTCACGAATGGTAAAATGAAGAGTGAGAAAATGTTGCTTTCCAATCCAATTTATCTGTAAACTTTGTGTATGGACAGTAGGTGTTTGTGGTAAAGTTACCTCATGGCATTCTTGAGGAGCTCAGGCAGGATGTAATCCAGCGGCAAAGGGATGAAAGGGAATCGAGCCGCTACGTGTCCATTGATCCTCACCCTGGGAGAGTTACCGTACTGGTGTTCACACAGACGTCTGGAGGACCAGAGGAACACATGAACATTTGAAAAACAAAATATTAAAAGTTCCACACTGGCCTGTCGTTCAAGCCTTATACTGCAGAGATCAATTCTTATTTATTATCATGCTAACACAACAGCCTAAGCAAATAACACTGGGCCTGATTCACCAACATCCTCCTAAGTGTTTTCTTAAATTTGTTTCCAAGTAGTTTTTAAGAAACGTCCTAAGAAAGGTCCATGTCTGATTCATGAACATGTTCTTGAACTGCAGAACTGTTCACATCTATGTTCTCATATTGATGGATCTCATGTGTTTGTAAGTTGAAAGCATGTGCCAGTGGTTCCTAATTAGCACAGTTAACGCCCCGCTATGAGTGTACCTAGATTTAATTCTCACCCAAGAACAAATCCCACAAAAGAAAACACTGGTGAATGCCAGAATCTTTGTAAAAACTTCATAAGTGGGTTTTACGAAGAAATTTGTTCTCAAGAACAGTTGGTGAATGAGGGCCGACATACAGAAGAAATTCTCTCTACAAACAAGGCTGATAACTGAATATACACTGTTGTGCTGCATGCTGTATCTAGCTGAACTGAAATGCAGCTTGCCAGTTTTACTTCTGACATTTAGGCACTTATGAATTATGAATTAGCACTAAACACAAAGTGGAGCTGAGCCGGATGGACTGCCATTAGTTCTGTGGGTATTTAGTCATAACCCGAAGTAATGGACAAATAAAAACATTTGACCCGATAATGGTGCTAGGTGATGTCAGAGATGTACTTATACAACTGTACTGTAGCTGTAAACATACAATATCATTGTGTTCACCTGTTGTACATTGCCCCATACAATAAAGACAGATAAACACATTATCTCCAAGCAATACACTGATTATTAGTTCACACATAGTGAGAATGTTATTTGTGAACTTTCTCTGAACTCAGTAAAATGTCATGCGATAAGATTCCAAAAAGCAAACATGAATGATAGGTCATATCTCAGTCCCGGCACCAGGCATTGCGTTCCTGAGAGTTTATCAGATGAACTCTGACTTCCCACAGTCAACACAGTGCTCACACAAAAGCACAAGGTCATCTAAAGGTGATAAACAAACAAAGCCCGGGGACTGAGCACTTACCTGGCAAAGTCCACCCACTTCTCTATGATCTTTTTGGGGGAGAGTCGTCTGCATATGATCCCAACAAAATCAGGCTGAAAGAAACACAAATAATTTAAAAACTGTTTTTCTCAAATGAAGGAGAAGAAACTTCATTTTTTTTAAAATACCTTCTAAAGGTTAAAGTAATTATGACTGTAATTTTTCAGATTAAGCAGAGATTCCCCTGCCAACTCCCTAGTACAAGCCCACCTAAAGACCCAGTGAGCCCATGTGAGAATACAGTCGTCCAGAGTATTTGCACGAAGCTAGTGGGCGTGTTGATGGCATTCTATCATGTGACTGGTGTTAAACTGGAAGAACACAAACATCCAATGATGATGAACAATGGTCATTTACAATGAAGTTGCCAACAAAAATATGTAACTGGGGGACACAACGAGATTCAGAAACTCATTAAGAGCCGACGCCAGACTTGTCAGACAAACTTAAGTTGTCTTCAGTTGTTTATGACCAAATTACAAAGTGGCTATGTGACTACATCATGTCCCACCTCCTGCGCACTCTACCCAGATGGCCCCCTTCTGCATAAACCAAAGTATTTCCACTAGGCGCGAACGCTTATGGCCCTGTGACATACTGGCGACCTGTCCAGGGTGGACCCCGCCTCTCGCTCAATGTCAGCTGGGACTGGCTCCAGCCCCCAGGACCCTACTCAGGAATAAGCAGTATAGATAATGGATGGGGTGGATGGAGAACACATACGACACGGACGGTGTCCTGTTGTGTGCTACGTGTGTGAAAGGGAAACTCTGGGCAAAGTCTGGACCTAATTCCACAGACATTGCGTGGTGTTCATGTGTGAAAACGGCATAAGAGTAGCCCCCAAGAAACACACTATTTTCTCTTGTTTGAGCAATTACTGACCTCTTTTTAATAAGACAATAAATTTGCTACTTGATTATGAAGATTTATAACTTGAGTTTAACTAATGACCTTGGGGCTGAGAGCCAAAGACAACGGAAAACATGGCAGTGTAAAACCGCTGCCCAACCAACCACGCCCTTGGGCTCACCATATATCATTGTCTAGGCAAACAACACAGTTCAAAGGTTTAACACTCATTGGAATCATAGACGCAGACATTTTGTTACATTACATTTTCTTCGTGCAGGGCGAGGTGGTGCGTGGCCAGCATTCGGATTCCCAGTCGAGAGCACAGTGTTGTATCCAGGAAGCTGCGGATGATTGTCTCATCCTGCAATAGTAGGAGAATGTTTTCTGCTTCACAGCTCCATCACTGGTACAGCTCAGGCAAAGCCATTAGGCAATAATTTAGCAGAAAACCATAATATGGAACATTAACCACACTCCTACAGATTTTATGATCAGATTAGGAAACCAGTAAGTAAGTAAACCGGTCTTTTTGTGCAGAGAATGAGACATCCAATAATTCAACCCATTCTTTTTTTTTTTAATACTTTTTATGACCTTTAATTTGGGCCCTTGACAGGATCTTTCTAACCGTTTAAGGCCATTCTGATTATTAAGGTCTGATTATAATAAAAAAAAGTCACAAATAAAATAACCCTGACAGGCTACCATAATTATTAGTGTCGAATCATTTCCGACATGGGATCAGCACTGCAGTGACATGTGTTGTCCTGACAGGGCAGTTCGTACCTCAATGTGTCTGCGACACTCCTTGAAGCCCTGGGCCAGCATGGTGACCACATCTTTGTGGTCGTCCAGCAGCTGCTGCACCAGCTTACAGAAACGAGCCTCCACGTCCTGATCCTTGATCTGTCAACAAAGCAGCATGCATCAGCCCTGTCAGGCCTTTATTCCCTGTTTTTATAAGCTGATTTGATTTTCAGAAGCACCTCTGGTTTCTCTGCTCCTGCTTAAATTAATTTAAAAAAAGCATTAGTACAACACTAATGGTTTTTTTCTTCTTTTTAAATACAAAATACTATTTTCATTCATTAATCTTCTCCAGATTCTCATTTAACTGTACTTAAAGCAAGTAGAAGTAATTAATGAAAATCCAGATATGTATAATAATCTACCATGTCAGCCTTTATAACACAGGTAATTCCACTCCCTCTCAATTTGGCCTGGTCAGGAGGCTGTTCACTGTCACTGCCAACCAACAAATGAACATACATGTGAGGAGTGAAGTTGCGGTTTCTGGCCGTGCGGTCGGGCCGATTTAAACGTATAGTATGTGTTAACGTACATACGATCAATGAAAGTCGTGCAGTGTCTGTTTGGCTTAACTGAATCTACTATGAACCTTAAAACTAAGACTGCACACAAGCTTTTGTTGGTTAAAAAAAGGCAGAATTACAACTATTGTTAATATTAAATTATGCTTAAGCAGCACACTAAATTACATTTTGATGAAACATTGTTTGTTAGACTGTTTACAGTCACCAATCATTAACACAGACATAAAGCAATATATATATATATTATTTTATATTAATTATTATTATCATTTATTAAGGATTATGCTTAACCTTTTATTAGGTTATTGTAAACACTGTATAGGAAAAAATAAGCAGACAGTAACTGGTATTTATTACACTGTTGAGAATTATTAAGCAGATGGGTGGACTGGTTTGCTGATCTAAGGGTTTAGTGGCTCACAATGAAAACAGTCATGGAGCACAGAAGTCTGAGTTGCACAAACAGAGGAGTAAATGTCTGACATCTGCACTGGGAACTCAATTTATTTTACAAAGAATTAAAATCTAAATAATCAAAACAAAATGATCTTATATTGTGATACTGTGACTAGTTCTACTTCCTCCTTAAAGAAAATTTTGAAAATCTTCAATCTTTTAAGTACTTAAAAAAAAGCAAAAAGTAAAAACCAGTTCTGCAGCTTTAACAAACAAGCCAATCAAAAGTGTAGACGGCAAATGTTCACGTTTCCTGTTTATGGCCATGAGTAAAGCCACTCCCTATTAAATGAAGAACTTGAACTATATTGTGGGGATGTTTTAGCCAGTTGTCACATCTTGTGCTGTTTGAGGGTTAAGGCTAGGACTGAGGGTTCAGGTTAGAACTAGGGTAAAGGGTGGGGCAGGAGTTTAGCTGTGATGGTTAAGGTGAATAAAGTTAAGCACTAGAGAATGAATTATGCCAATGAGTGTCCTCACAACTAAAGGTGTGTGTGTGTATGTGTGTGTGTGTATGTACACTCACCTGGGGAAAGTCACTGACCATATGATAGGCTCTGATATACAGTTCGTGCTGTAAGAAAGCAGAAGATAGACGGAGGCTGCAGTTAGATTCTGTGTGATTTTCCATTCAACCAGAAAGCATCACACCACCAAGTGCTGCCCTGTGACTGGGCCCACAGCACAACTGACAAGTCCACGTGTGGTTTACACTACAGAACAATTCCAGCATGCATCAGTGTGACAAAAAAAAAGTTTAAATGACTGGATGGTATCAAGCTTTAATCCATGATCTGGATGTGTATTAGTTCCTTTGGATAAAAGAACTGACAGAGTTAAACCACCCTGACCTAACAACTTGAATCATACAAAAGGAGCTACGCTTTATGCAATCGGCTTAACAAGCTTCGTGATACAAAGGAAAGAATCTAGGTGAAAGTTCAGCAATAACCCCTGCAGACGCAGTGAATCTGTCGGGATGGAAAAACAGACTGTGTGAGAGCACACTGTTCCCACACAGAAACCCTAAAGACAAATAAGAACCTCTTAATGAAAATAAAAAAACATGACACATTGACTTAAGAGTCTGATATGACTGAAATGCTTGTGTCTGCATGCAACAAATATATAAAATATAATATAACAGCCAAGTGTGTTTATGTGCCCATACAAAGGCGGATTTTGTTTGTTCAACATCAACAGTACTGTTTTTGCAGGAACAGTTTCACAAATGTTTTCATATGAGTGGTTCAGCTGTGAATGAAAGCAGGTTTCCGTGCATCCAGTCCAATGATACCACTGTGGTAACCCAGTGGAGGTGGGCAAAAATGTCTTTTGTGATTTCAGTGAACCAAACCTTTAAACTCAGTCAACTGTCATCATGTCATTTTAACCCAAATACTGGAGATTACGTTTGCTGTCAGTCAACATGTTATACTGTATTATACATACAGACTTCAGTAAGACGATATTGCTCCAAGACATTGATATACTGTTCACTGGTTGTAAACATGTGTGACTGGGGGCAATTCACGCTGCCACTGTTACAAAGCAAACCACGGTGTCAAGTTGAAGAATTCAAGCATCATCACCTCAGGGCAGATGTAAGGTTGGGCTATACGCCAACAAAAACAAACATTCACGTGTTATTAACCGTGTCCACAATCTTTTTACTACAATATCTGAAATTATGTATACTATTATATAGGATTTTAGCCACATGCATCAACAAACAACAGTGCATAGTGACTGCCCTACATCTGCTCACATTTTTATGCTTGTCATTTACACACATCAGTGGCAGGGTGTTTGCCTGGGTTCGGCAGCTTGCCCTAGAACAGCAGTGTGTGCAAAGGAGCTGACTCTGCCATTAGTGCCCTACCTCCTGCACCACACCCACCCCTTCCTAATAGGAACAATGGAAGTAGCAGCAGTAAGCCCTTTCTGTGTGACAGCATCTTAATAGAGAGAAAAAAGACAGCATTTCCCTCAGGTCGTTCAAAGTTCAGCCAAGATCCTCCTGTGCAGTGTCCTAACAGTCACTTTCTTATTATAGCATGTGCTACAGGGCTTATGCCCTCTCACTTCATGTAAAGTTTCAGACTGCAACTGGGAGCAGTGTTGGGTGAGAAGGGTGTCCTTACCACTTGCAGAATGGTGGGATTGCAACCAATGATGAAGGGCAAACTACGGAAGCCCTTGATGCGATGGGCGATTCGCACAGGCAGCTCTTTGTGTAGGTACTTGGCACTGCTCTGAGATCACGCATACACACAGAACAATGGAAAACAAGTGAGTAAACAGGCAAAGAGATTAAAGGACTTTGCATTAAACATGCACTCGGCAGTCTCCTCAGTGTGGCTGAAACATTTACCAAGATGTGCTGTCCATCGGGAGACTTCCCAGAATAAAGCAGGGTCGCTAAGGTCAGTCGCATAGAGGCCTAAGGAGACATTAACATGTTCAATCATATACACATTCACAATCAGAACACAGGTCAGATGACACCACAGGACCCAGAAAGATTTTCAGCCATATTAGATTATTTTCCTATTTGAAACCAACTTTCAGTACTTGACAGGCACATTTCAGTAGCATAAAAACTATTAAGTATACCTAGCCAGTCAATAAATCTGCTAATATTAGCTTCTCACAGACGTATTGCTATCATTGTATATAGCAGCCAAAAATAATTAGAAGTTGCTGGACAGAAATACTGGATCATGTCTGGTCTGGTCTGGTTTGCATTGGGATCAGCTTTCATGTTACCAGGTGGAAATGTGACTGAACTGTTGATTTTGAAAGCTGTACCTGTGTTTATCCTGCTATAACACTGTGAAAAGAACTGCTCAATTACAGAGAGGCAGAAGTATGCAGCTGACTATAATCAGTCAGTTTTGTGATCTTAAATTTATGTAGGACAGTGTAATAAGTTTATTACTTTTCTGACTTGGGAAAAATAGCTGGACCAAAAAAGAGGGAGGAAAGGGAAGGCACAGTCAGCGAAGGAGGAAGTGAGGGTAAAACTAGACATTTCCTACTTAAGTGCCAGTACATTTATAACCCCATATTTGTTTTGCACTTTATTAGAGGTCAATAAGAATGTGACCGGTTCAATTCAATTAACTACAGCAAGAACTGACTGCAAGACTTTTAGTTAAAAATGTATTAATAAAATATTTCTGCAAAAGCAGTAAGATAGTTCCATTGCTGAAACCTAACACTGTCGTCAGACATCTCTACTAACGTTGTAGCTAGTTCAAATAACAGCTCTGTACTGAGGAGTTTATTCCACATCTGTGAGAGAAAAACAAAGGACTGCCAGGATGATACCAATGTAAACATTTTGTCCTCACGAAAAGCCGTGATGCTGCATTCACGTCCTCACGAGAAACTCACATAGCATTTGAGTTATAGGAATGGCGTCTTTAGATGATTCAAAATATAAATTACAATCTTACACATAGTTTATATCCTAAATAATGTAATAAAATTACAAATGAATATGTAACTAGTGTTTTCTTTTTGTCTAACTCTACATCTCCAGGTGACAAATCTCGCCAAACTGGAGAAAAAAGCCGATATTCAGTCCACTATCTAGGGCCCGAGCACTAAGCTAAATTGGCTAGCTAGCTCTGAATGCCACCTAACGTGGACCGCTGTTTCCAGATAAACTCTAGTGATGGCCCTTTGTGTCCCTGAACACAACATAAACTGTGCTAACAGCTAACGGTAACGTTACGCTCGTGCTAAAACTAGCTTTCTCTCTCGTTGCCACAGCTGTATGACTGCAGTTTCAGACGAGAATGCCGGTAAAAAGTCACGTCCCTACCTTTTCTGCGGAAGCGTCAATTGCAGACTGGTTGTAAAACGTCGTAACAGCCTTCGACCGCTCTCTAGCCAACTCTGAAAATCCTTGCATCGAGGACGTGGACTGAAATCTCCGACTCTCCGTGCTTGACATCGGCGGCGCTGTTTTGGTGACTGGGGGCAGGAAGAGGCTGCAGAGCCTCGGCCTAGCCCTGCAGGTAGCACCGCTCAGCATCTCCACTGCTACACCGGCCAGTCCAGAACACATTTGGAGCCGAGCTATGAGTGTGAAGAGGACTGTCCTGTTCCCGTACCAACACAAAATGTTAAGTCTGCTGTGAGGCCATTAAGGTCGCAACGTGATGATGCACAAAGGCACAGATCTGAATACAGTGGATTAAGGTACAAAAAATGGCTTTGTACGCATTGGCCAGTGGAGTGAGGGCTGGGGCGACGTCATGACAGATGAGCCTATCAAGAGGTGCAGGGGCGGAGCGAAATATCATCAACAACCCCCTTACATTACTGTACTTACCGCAGGAACGGCGTGTAGCCAGCTCTTTCGGGTAGTTTACTGGTACATGGGGGCACGGTGCGTTAATATATAAGCCTATATATAAAACTCAGCACCATTCAGGCTTCTTCATGGACATAAAGAACAAGGAGTCATGCAGAAGACGGTTTGGCCCCCAGAGCCCTTATGTCAACATCATTGAGTCTGTCTGGGATTGCATAAAAAGATAAAACAGAGATAATCTAAATTTACAGAACTGGGAAGTTCTCCCAGGTGTTTGGAGCAGATTTACCATCTGTCTTTCCTTTCGACATGAAGACCGACTTTGCAAATATGCAATGTGTTTGTCTTTCCTTGTAATAACTTATTATACACAATATTATGCAAGTTATCATTCCAAGTCCAATTATTTAAATCTCAGAACAGATGAGGCATCTTTGTATTCTGGTGGTTAAGACATGTCTTGGTTTTATTGTGGCCAGTGATCTTGTAATCTTGTATGATGGAAGTCTGATTTCATTAAACAGGGTGCAGTTAGGAAAGAAAATTAGGTGAATGAATGAAGATAAAATCACATACAGCTTTACAACACAAAAATATGTTGGATAGGTGCAGTAAAACTAATGTGGGATCCAAATGCTATGCAGTATGTGCAGATCAATAAAACCACAGAGCAGGAAGGAACATGGTGTGCTACCTTTATTTTCTCAGCAGTCAGATGCCAGGCTGCATCTTCACATACAGAAAAACCGGCATGGCAGTGTTCACATTCCTTAATGTTAACAGATTAGAAAGTAACCTTATGCAGTTATGCCATTCTGTACTTCTGCAGGTAGAGTGCACTTGATGCCTGCTGTTGCAACAGCAAACTACAGCAATTAAGCTGTGGGCTGTAAACACAAAATAATTAGCTGCAAGATGATAAAACACTCAGCAGAGCTTAATAAAACTGTCTGGTGATAATTTTTTTTATGGGTTCATCATTACTAAGGACATCTTTCAATACTGTGAATAGCTTTATATTCTTTGAAGACAAGTTAATAATGGTGATTGGAATTATACTGAATGGTTTTGCACGCTTTATTATTAAGTGAAATAAAAAGTGAAAATCAACAGCTCCTGGTGGTTTTGGCACCATGATAACAGAGTCAGCAGAGACAAATAAAAAAAATTAATAAACATTTCTAAAGTAACTGTGCCAAACACTGAAATAAATCCATCCACACATTAAAGAGACTAAGAAAAAATGGCTTGGACCAAATACAGCTGCATTTGCTGCCCATGTTGTGTCATTGTGTACACTTAAATACAGTATACTGGTCATGGTCTGCACATCTTTATGACT